CGCCGCGCGCGGGGCACCGGGAGGGGGGAGAGAAGCCCGGTTTGGTAGAGGGTGCAGCCTCGTAGCTCATGTCAGCGAGAGGAGCTTGCCCAGCAGCGAGAAGCTTGGGCTGTGGCCAGACGTGTACGTCGTGTCCCAGCACCCACCCAAAACTGCACAGGCCGTCTTGGGTTCTCCTTGTCGCTATCATACGGCCTAGATTTCAGCAAGATCCCCGTTCCGCGCGGGGACAGACGGATCCAGAAGCTATTCTGTGCACTGGTTGGGACGATGGCTTCTGCCCGGGATACAGCAGCGCGAGTTCCCCCAGCCAAAGACCTCCCCTAGTCTTCGAAAGCAAGTGTTTTGTCAAGGGGTTGGAAAGCAGAAGGGCATGGGCTTTGCTGGCTAGCACCCTCTGCAGTAAAATCCCATCACACAGAGTGCTGCTGGTTTAGCCGTGCTAAATGATTGAGGAGTGGCTGCCTTGATTTTGTATCTTTCGTGCCAATTTTAAAAGTAAATGTGAGTTTTACTAACCCTCTGAGCCTGCTCTTCAGGGCCTGTGATTTTACACCTGCTGATCTCACACGTCAAGAAGATACATCCTTTCCTAAAACACTGCAGGAAAGTGATAGAAAAGGTTGTCTCCAGGACCAAGGGGGAGGGTAACCTTAAGCACTCAAAGCAATTTATGCACTGTATCCCTACCCATGCCTTCTCATTTCAAAGCCATCTTCCCCTTCACCAGCACTGAACAGACTCAGTTTGCAAACCCCATTTTATTGAGATAACTGCTTGGTTCACTAATCCAAGGCTTATCCAGTCGAGTATGTCTGGTTTAGATGTACAGATAAAGCTTCACTTTCCTAGAGAACAGGCTTTAGAATAATTGCCCTTTCTAAGTGATGAATGCAAACATCAGAGTTTCTATGAAAATATAATTTTTACACATAGCATGTATGTTACATAAAGCAAGTTGCAAGTACAGGAATAGGAAAGTAACTTTGGATAAAGTTGGAGAGAAATAAACATTCAAAACAGTGAAAAGAACAAGTCCTGGGTACAATATTAAGAGCACATCCCCAGAATAAATCCTCTGAAGTCAGTGTTACAGCAATGCCCAAGTGATTTAAAAACACAACATTGTTTAGTTTTTATCAGAGGGAAACCATCTGGCCAGTGGCTTTTCCACCTGATACCTCTTTTATCCCCGTGCCTAATATTCCTCACCTGCTCCAGACCCCTTTCTGTCAATTGTGCAGAGGTAAAAAGTCTGAAGGCAGCTGCAGTGCCAATACAGAAATAAAGCTGAACCCAACCTCTCCATGGGATACAGCTTATCAGAGCAACAATGCTTCAGCTTCAGTGACAGCAATTCTACCTTTGCTATCAGAGAGGGGAGCTGCATATAGGAACCCAAGAATAGAGCACTATCAGTTCTGTCTTGGGGGATGTCCTCTTTTGTCCTAGCTTACATGTGATGTTAGCATGGATGAAAGGTACATCACTGCCAGCCCCAAAAAGCAAGCTTTTTGTCCAGTCTTGCTCCTTCTCAAATACAGCCCATTGTTGTGCTGAAAAGTATGTGTTTCCATATAGGGTTCAGTCCTTGGCTCTCTTAAGCATATTAAATGGGACCATGGTTATCTGAACTGATCTAAGAACAAGAACAGGCCATCTCCTGTGTCAGTTGACAACTATTTTCTTCATGGGAAAACTGGATAGCTATGGGCAAGGCTAGATTGAAGCCTTATCCCTTAGAAGCTCTGATCATATTAACAGCCTCCTGTGTCTTCAGTGCTTCAAAATCCAACTGCTCCTCTTTGAGTAGCAGAGAGGGATATGGAACTGGCAACTACAGACCTTGACAATTGTCTTAATTTTCTCCATAAAATCCTAGCCTGGGTGCATGGCTCTTCATAAAATAAAATTGATAAGTAAAACCTAAGAAACACTTGAGAAAGACTAGCAATTCAAATACAGTTGATTTCAGTATAACAACCCCATGCTCTCTTTACCAACCCACTAGAGATCATGCAACAGAGAAACTATTTCCAGGGAGGGGAAAAAAAAATTGAAAACAAAACAACCTTGCTTCTTTTCCAGAAAGAGATGTATTCCCCACCTGTAGCCCATTGATGAACTTGTTCATTGACAAACTTTCCTATTGCTGTCTGTAAGGAGAAAATCACCATAACAAATTGTACAGAACAGGAGGCATGTTGTGTTGTGCCAATGTGGCACAGAGCCACATAAAAGCCTTGAGCTACTTCCTGGACAGTGAAGCAGTGAGAAAATAAATAGCACTGTTGCTGCCTATTAAAGCTGGCAAAAATATAAAACCCAGTAGGAACTAGTTGGATTTCCATAATAAAATAAAGTTATGAGCCCAGTGTTGTGTTAACAGGAGACTATACAAAACATCTCAGCATCCACTAGGAAAATGAGTAAAACACAGTATAATGCGTGCAGAAATATACAGAAAGCACTTGCACCAGTATAAAAATATCCACGGTCCTCAGACAAATGTAAACTTGGTACAAAATAATTCCAAGAACAGGAACATGTTTACAAAAACACATGTTAATATAAAACAGTAAAACTAGGTTCACCCTCTCCCAGCCTCATGCACAGCACAGACACACAGGTAGTCCACAGAAGGGCCACATGTACTGAGAATGAGTAGAGCCTTGACTTGCCATTTGACTTAGAAAAGTCAGCTGTGTCTGCTGCTCATCACAACCAGCACTCTGGAAGTACAGCTGACTGGCAGCAGAAGGGCAGAGACAGGCAGTGCAGAAACAAACAGAAACCCCCACAAAACCAAAAAGAAACACCCACTCTCAGGGATTTTTAGGGCTTGTTCTTTCCCAAGCAGTCATTTATTTCCTGATCCTTCAGGCACCCCAGGAGCAGGCATACCAGGGAACTGGTGGTGTAACTGATGGGGTTTCTCTCCTACTGGTGTGGATAAGTTTTTGGTGGCCCTGGCACTGAGTGGACAGCAGCACAGTGATGCCTATGCACAGGAGGTGACAAACTGTCTGCCTTGCTGTAAAAGAGTAGAGGGCATGAATGCGGGGAAAGCAGTCCAACAAGGAGAGGGGTTTGTAAGTACCTTAGGGAAGCAGCTGATTCCAGCTCCCCTGCAAATGAAATCCTTCAGCAAATAAGCAAGCACCAAGATCCCACAGTTCCCATGGCAACAAAGCAAACCCAAAGGGCCTCAGAAGTGAGTACAGCTTTGGAGAGCAAGTGGGAAAAAGCAGGACTAGGAAACGGAAGCCTGAGTTGGGAGAAAGGGAGCTTTGCCAAGCTGGTGATCTTTACTTTAGACCATGCATAAAACCTCCAGAAGACTGTCTTCCCTCCCCAGGTCAAACTTCTATACTGGCATTCTGGAATGTCCACTCTGCTCCTGCAGCATGTCTACGTCCAGGACTGAAGTTGGTCAAACCTTCAGCTCGCATAATCTAGCAGCTTCTTCTGATTCATGAAGGCAAAGCTTCACATTTTTGCCATCAGTGCAGATTTATGTAATACCATGTACAAGAAAGCAGACTTGAAATGCCCAGATCACAGTCTGCAGCACATATTGCAGGAATGGAGAAGCTGGGGAAGGGAGTAATGTATCATTAAGGCCTTTGGGGTTTAGTTGACAGGACAAAGCAAGGTGTTTCTTTCCCACAGACCTGTCATTTCAGTCTCAGAACACTGTCCACATTTGGCCATGGAAAGTCAGATGCCAGGTGGCATGCACACAACATGCATTACCCGTTGTTTGTAGAGAAGCCCTCTTTTTTGGCAGCTTGAATTGGACTCCTTCCAGCACACATGCTTTTTGGTCATTCTTTGAGCTCAGCAGCCAGTTACACATTTCCATAGTGACAAGACTTAAAAGCTTGATTAATTCTCCCCATGGTCTTCTTCCACCCAGGCCACAATTTTCCCCTCCCAACCAGGAATGATGTCATCATCATGGAATACCTACAAAAAAAAAAGGGAGCCCAGTCATGTCTGGTGTCTGGACACCACTCTTCTACAATGTGAGTAGTGTGAGAGGCAGACATCAAGTGGGAGATCCTAGCTCAGATGTCACTACACAGCCCAGAGAACATGTACTTCATCCATCATTCACACATCTGAGTAATCTTTTCGGGTTTTAGCTGAAAAACTGATTAGGCCCCTCTAACCAGTAATTATTGGCATGTTTTTGACAGAAAAGGTAAAATAAAGACAGGAAACATGCCTTTTCTGATCTAGACTACGAACTCCAGCTGCTTCTGCAGAATGGCCACCCAGTCAGCTGACTGTTCCCACAGAGAGACCAGAGAGACCCTTTGCACTTATCTTAATCAATTTGGGAAACAGGAACTATCCCAATAGCCTTTAATGAATCCAATCCACACCACATAAACATAAACAGGGCTGTAATGCAGTACACAAAGGAAAAGATGCCACAGAATTCTCTCCAAAAAACCTTTAAAATAAAGCAGGAGAATGTTTTTTGAATAAGCCACGTTTGCTGAAAGTGTCTCTCATTGCAACAAGTTTTGTAAAGCCACTTGGAAGGACTAGAAGTATAGTCTGGGGTTTTGCCCAGTGTCCCCTGAGCAATGCTGTGTCAGACTGTCTTTGCCAATAGCCAGCTCTTTGCCCAAGGGGCTCTGCAACCCCCAGGGCACTGCAATCCCATTCACGTAATTGCTCTGGCTGGGAATGAAAACATACTATTTTAGCACCTCAGAAGAGGAGCTTAATCTACAGTTGTGAAAATAGTCTGTTCAGGGGCAAGTTCAATGATTTCATTAGTTTAGAAGTGAGGTGACCACAGTCTCCAGGGTTGTGTGGTAACACTGAACCCAAAGCAACAGACAGCTAAATTCCACACTTACCTCCTCCTTAACCGTGCCAAACTCTGGATCCAGGGCTTTGAAGTGGTACCGGTGGGTTCCTTCACGATCAATAGCTACCTTAAAATCCTTCAGAGTCACTTCCCCTAACCTGCAAGGGAAGAGTTTGGCACTATCCCATGGTAGACTGTTACTGGATTTAACTCAAGTGTTACTACATGGCATGCAGAGCCACAGCACAAGTCTAGCTAGGCATGTGGCACCCTGGTCACAGGAATGTGAAGACTGTAACCCTCCAGGAACACACCTGTCAACCCCAAGGTCCTCTTCAGAGGAAGAATTGCCTTCTGATTTACTAAGAACCACCTCAAAACAGCTTTTTTCACTTTCCCTTTTGCATTGATGACCATAGTTTTTTTGACAGGAGTGTCCTGCACTACATGCCACAATAGAACCACTTGGCTGCTTTCTCTTAGAAGTTAATTTAAAAAAAAAAAAAATAAAAGAGTGAATCTTGGGGCTCTAAAACGAATGCATCAGCTAGGGGAGTGCTTTAGGCAATTTTCCCCAGACAGTGTTATGAAATCCAATGCCCAAGTTAATTCGCAGCAAACGTGTGCTGGTGCTGACCATACCCAGAAAAGATCAGACTAATGCATTAAGGGAAACAAGCATTTTCCACACCAGTGTCAGCAAGGCAAAGCCAGACCTCACCTCTTTGGTATGTTGACCATGAAAGGTGTGAGGGAGCGGTCAGTGAAGTACAACACTTTGGTGCAGGCACTGGTGTTCATCACGGGTGTGCTGTGAGAATGAGGCAGCTCTGCAAAGAAAAGAGCACAATCATTGGGGAACAGCCTGTCTCAACAGGAGACATAAGGGGTAGTCTCATCAAATTTGCTATCGTAGCAGAGAACCTGGTGATGGGAAAAGATTCTTAGGACAGTGGCTAGTCACCCCTTTTGGGAAGGGACAGGTATTCCCTTGCTTACTGGAAAACTTTGCATTTTAAGGTAGGGTCACCATCCAACTGTGTTGTTAGCATGGAAGATTTGCCTAGCACTGTCCTCCAGGATTACTATCCCATCCACACAGGGGCTTGCTGCCACCATCTACTCCATAGACACTATTCACTACCTCAGCAGTGACAGAAGAACCTTTCTGGAAAAAACAGCCTTCATGATGAAAAGGAAGCGTGAAACTGCTGCAGCTGGAACCAGGAAAAATGGTGTCAGAAAGAGCTGTGCTGTTATGCATATATGAAAGGAGCTAGACACTGAGGGGAACAGGGGAAGAGGCAACTGTACAGTTATCTGTGTCCACTAGATGGTGCAAACCAGCAGGACAGCTGAAATAACATCACATTTCCCACTCGTCCCAGGGTAATTGTTTACCATAGTTATTTATATTGCAGTACTATCGAAGCAGCCCAGACAGACTCCCACTGTGATGGTGCTTTACAAACAAGCAGTCATAGATTGTCTCTGCCCCTTTTCCTTTGCAGTGAAGCCTAACCTGTACAACAAATGACTGAAGGGAAGAAAGTGAGCTCTGGTAAAGGGAATAAGAAGCTGGAGGTGGCAGATTCCCAAGAGGATGCTATGCCTTGGACTCTGGCTAGGAAACCTGAGCAGTGAATTTGGCAGTGGGACGGCAGGAGCTGAAAGGCACTTACTGGATTTGGGAGGCCAGGAGTCTCTACACTTATTTGTTGCTCTGCTTGCCGGTGATTTCCCCCGGATCTAGGGTGCAAAGCCAAAAAAGTGAGAACAAAGTGTCACTTCCCAGTTGGAGCTCTCTTTGCTGCTTAGCTCTGGGTTGCATGCGAGGGGCAGAGATTAAGAGCTAAGTGCCCTAGGAAGCCTTTACCCTTCTCTCTTGCCTCTTCTGTGTTTCCATGCGGTACAGCCGTTCCATCAGGCTGGAAATGCCCTGTTCCAAGCTGTCAATGGTGTGGTGCTGTGGATCATGGCCACTGAAACTGTTCCTGAGGCTGCGAAGGGCATCACGAACCAGCTGCAAGTCATTTGTCTGCCCAAGAGACCATGAGTCATTAAGACTAACTCCAGGCTGCATCTAAAGCCACAGGTCTTAAAGAGGAAGTATCTCTTAACAAGATAATAGCTTCCAGGGTATCTGGAGCCCTCATCTGCATCTGGCTGGGAGAATATCCCTTAGGTGCACTTACCCCTCGGTGGGTCATGGGAGCAGCTCCTTTCCCTGCTGCCTGGAGGAAGCCATTGCTCTGAGCACTATGACCACTGTAAGCCATCACCTGTTCAGAGGAAGATGCGTGTGCCACTAGGAATGTAAGTGTTAGGACCTCCCCAAAGATCCCAATTTGCAAGCTTCAAAATGATGAGAGTACACGAAAACTTTCCACATCAGTGATATAACTCCCATCCTCTACCACATAAATACACTCACTAATGAGTGCACAAGCAGTCCTATAGGTCAGAGCACAAACATGATTGCTCACATACAGATGGAGAAAGAGGGGAGACAGGAAGGGGCTTGCTGCTACATCACAGAAGGCTCTGCAAGCTCTAGTGAGCACAATCAGCATTTCAATGGCACTGTGCAGGGAAGAGATATTGGGGCTGTCACTCTTCCCACCAAGACAGTTCCAAGTGCTCAATACCAGGCTCAACAAGAAGAGTTAAGCAGCTAAGCCCTGATCTAACTGTTGGTCAGTGTCAGAGCTGAAGCTAAAAGCCAAAGTCTCTGGCTTCCACTGACTCCTGTGCTCCTCTCACTGTTTCATCCTTTAGGATTTTGATGCAAAAGGCTAAGCCAGAGTGCTCACTGCTGAGAGCTTTGGTAAGTTGGATGTTTTGTGGAGCCTGGCTGCCTTATTTAGGGGACTGACAATGAGATTACAGAGCCAGGCCTCTCTAGGATAAAATGATGATTCCTGAAGAAAGGTAGCTAAAGGCTGCTGGACAGAAACATCACTCCAATAGTCTCATGTGTAGACCAAGGCTTCCCATACCTCTTCAGCTTCTCTCTTCATACAGTGAGCTAGCAAGGCGTCTTTGTGCTCCAGCTCCCGCTCCAAATCCACCTGTGAGGGGAGTGGAAGAGTCAGCACAAACCAAGCCACCAAGGTAAGTGCTCAGGGCATCAGTACAGCCCACCTGCTCCATACCTGTTGGTAGCTGGCTTCAGAAAGCTGCCTAAGCATTTCATCCAGTTTGGTCTGACGCTGCTGTAAATGCCGATCCTTCTGGCCCAGTTCTTTCTGCAACACAGTAATCAAGAGAATCAACAACAAGATAGTGAATATGATTCACAATCATCTTCCCATGGCAGGGAGCTTCATCTCATCTGCCAGGATCAGGTTCCTCTACAGGCTGACTTACACAATGTGTGTACTTGTAGCTAGATGTTAGAACTGAGTGTCAAAGCTTTTTTTTTTTTTTTTTTAAGAGATAGGTCAGATTGCCTGGAGTCCCCTTGCACAGCAAAGATCTGCTACTGAGGCCAGACAACTGTCCCAGAGAAAACAGATTTCTGAGGGATCAGTGGACAATCAGGTGACCCAACCTAACCTGATAGGCTTCTGTATGAGTGTTAGATACTCAGCAAGCCATCATAGAAAAAACATGACAATAAAAGATCTACTATAAAAAGCTGTGGGCAGAACACAAATAAATCTGATCCCTCCATCTCATTACAAACATCCATGGCTATTGCAACTTTTTCACTATCCACAGTGCCATTCCTAGAGGTGACTGAGTGCCAGGGAGATAGCAGTCACACCCGCAAAACTGAAGAACCACAAGATGCCACCCCCAGCAAAGCCTCCAGTGAAGAGGAATTCCATTACTTTGTATTCTGCCAGTAGCCGGTTTCTCTCTTCAACCTTCCTCTGAAGGTCAACCTGCAGAAATAACACATAGGTGTGAAGTAGATATTCCTGGAGAGTTAGTGACAACCTCTCTGCCCCTTGTGCTAAAGGATGACCCAAGACCAAGTATCTGCAGAGTTCAAGGGAGCTGGTGTCTAAGAATGGCAACCTTTTGGACAGGAGAGTTCCTTCCTTGCCCTTCTCTCTCCAGACAGACACTGTATATGGCAGCTCCACCTGTCAAAGTGCCACTTGCTAACCCACGGAGTACAATGAGGAAGGAAGAATGCAACTGTACTGAAAACATCTTGGGAAGCTCCTCCCTGTTTCAGCTGAAGGTCTTTGAGGACAGGAAGTGGGAGTGAAGAACAGGAAATTCCAGTGAGTCCCACAGCTGGCCAGTAGACAGTTTTTACTATGCAGAGACCTTTGACTATCACTATCCCACGACCCCAAGAACTCTGCTGCAACCACCAACTCCACCCTGTGGCTGCTGGAGCCCTCAAGGCCACCAACCTCCTCCTAAAATATTCTAACCTTCAGCAGCAGTGACTCACATTCTGGTTGTGCAATTCCTCCTTGTCCATGTTTGCTCTCAGCAATTCCTGCTTTAGCTGAAGAACCGAAGCATCCTGTTGAATCAGCCTTTGCTGTAGAGCATCCTAGGAAAACATTTTATCTTTAGGAAGGTACAAGACAGAGGCAGAGACCCTTCCCTGGAAAGTGAGTGACCTAGACCAGTGGCCATAACACAGTAGGGCCACTCACAGGGCTGAAATGTTGCTAAGGGCCCAAGAGAGCAGGACATAGACATCTGCCCAATGGGCTCTCAGCCCTTCTGCCTTTCTCTTACCCAAATGTGTTTTCCCTGCCAACGTTCTAGCCACCTGGGACAGGAATTTCTGTGCTTCTACCTGAACTTCCTGCTCCAGAAGTGGCCTGACAATTTGCTCTTACGGCAGAAAAGAGCAGTGTCTTTGGAGGGTCTTTTCAGTGGCCTACAGCTATAGAGTCTCCAGCCATGCTTCTGCAGCATCCACAGGGCAGAAAAAGGCCAACGTCACCCAAGGACACAAGGAAACTTAAGCTCTCAGTGTGACCTAGTTGTGCAATGAAATCCACTCTGAAGAGGCTAAAGTCAGGACTAATTCTGCACCTTTCACTCAGTGTTACACAGAAGCAGAGAGCTCTACCTTGGACAGCTACTGCCTTTTGCTTCCTTCACAGGCAACTCTAAAAATACCTCTGCTCAGGAGTAATGATTAGTGTTCAGAACTCTGGAGGGAGAAACTGAGCAAACAGGAGCCAAAGTTGTGAAAAATGCTGCAGCTGAAGAGGACAAGGATACCCTCGTGCTCTTTTTCCTCTGCTGTCAAGAATGAGTTCACTGGGCTAATCCTACTTTGCACACTCCAACACAGAGGGTGAAAAAAAAAAAAGCCATGAGAAACACGTAGGCATCCTATGTCTCATATTTTGTTTAGTGGAAACAGACAAAAGAGGGGACATTTGACCATAATCCTACAGATGGAAACAGAACCCAGGGGACCCAAATCCTTGTCCCTGCCTTAACTGCAGTCTCTCCCTGGAGCCAGAAAGGGACTATAGAATCCCCCACCTCCAAGTCCCCCAATACAAATCCCTCTAAAGTCTGAGATTCCTCAGAGGTGTATGGTTGCTTCTGGCCCTATTCATGGGCTGCAGCAGACTCTAAAGCTTTACTAATTATATTTGATGAAGTACCCCTTCCCTCACCTTTATTCCCTGTAGGTTTCGAGCTTCTTGTTTGTATTTCAATAGCTCCTTCTGTTAAGGCAACACAATTTGATTAAATGGCATCTTGTCACCACTTCAGAATCAACCAAAGTCAGCGTTCTCTGTCCCCAGACACCTGCTTCAGAAGAAAGCACATCCCACTTTCCCACAGATCAAAAACCTTGTCAGGCCCTGAGCCATTTTAACGGGTTACAGACATGACAAAACAGTTGAGCAGCTCCCTAAGCCCCTGCTATTAAAGCCACAAGAGAAAAAAAAAAAAGTGCTTAGTCCCCCAAATCTGTCCTTCAGGGAAATGTTAAATACTTCTCTCCCAGCATCAGAGCTGATCCCAGAGCCAGCATCAGAAGAAAGCTGAATTAAGCCAGGCTTTAGAGGGCAGGTTCTTCTTAGCTGCGTTTATTTCCTACTTGAAAGATTGTATATATTCATACATGGCTAGAAACTTAACAGCTGTCCTGGATAAAGTTTTGAGAAGCTAGTACAACCTGGATCTCTCCACCTTCAAGAGCGTGCAGAAAAAAATCTATTTCAGGGCTCATGTAAATTCCTGTAAGATTTACATATTTGTTTTAACAGCAACTGACTTCACCAGCATTGGTTTGAGGCAAAGTGGGGAGGCAGCATATATTTTTCTGGTGCTAACCCACAAACTTTTATTAACTGCTAATATGGATACAATAAACACTTGCTAGCCAAGTATTGCAAGTACTCTCCAGGTCAATGAATTATGGTCTCAGGGAAGCAGATATCTATATGCCTGGGGGGATGGAGATCCCACACAGCAGAATATGGGAACGGAGTTGGAGCCCTAACACAATATATCCTTCATGTCATCTGTTGTGTTGTCCATCCCCCCGTCCCTGCCCCACCCCCCTCAAAAAAAAAAATCAAGTAGGACAGAGTCTACAAAGATATCCTGATCCAAAGCCTCTCTTTCTCTTTCATCTGTCCCCCTCTAACCTTTAGGTCTTGATTTTCTTCCACACTCTGGTCCAGGCGACTTCGGATTATGATCTGCATGTAAAATACCATGGTTATTATTGTGCAAGACACCTGCCTGTGGCAGAACAGTGCAAAGGGCAGCTTGATCAGAGAAATGTAGGTACAGCAATGTGCTCACCAGCTGCTCTTCGGGGCAGGCTCCACGTTCACAAAGTTCAAAGGACCCTTCCTGCTCATCCTCAGGTAAAGACCCATTGAGCAACAAAGCCTGGGAAGATGAAGGGGGAAAAAAAAAAATCTGCTCTTCAGGGGTTTCAAAGGAAAATAGGCTAGCTGCATCTCTGGCTAACATTCATACCAACAGCCTCTAAACGGTTTCATTTTCCATTTCTTCTGTCTTATTCCCCTCAAAAATGAGTAGAATTTTTCAGGAATTAACAAGATTTATCCCCTGAAAAAGGTCTCCCAGAGATAACTGTCAGCCCACACTCTTCCCCACAGAAAGACACTAAGCAAGGACAACTACTCAGATTTTCAGGGAGTGAAGTTTGTCTCAGACTTCAGTCCAAGGGTAGCCTTCACTACAATAGCAGATTTGAAGTCTAAAGTGGAAACTGAACCGGGTTTACATTGTAAGGCTTCTCTTCTAGAATGAGACTGAAGTGTTGCCTGCTGAAAGAAGCCATTCTAACCACACATCTACAGAAGACTTGAGAAACAGGTTGTTCAGGGAAGCCTAATTCTGTTCTACACTAGACAAGACCGTGACACATTCAGAACTGTTCCCAAGCGAGGGAAGAGCCCTCACCCACACAGACAGTGAAAAATCCTGTGCTTGAAGAAGGCTACAAGAAGCAGAGTATTAACTCCTTCAGCAGCTCCAAGGTAGCCCAGATGTCTGCAGGAAGATGCCAGAATTCCCACAGTAGACTGAATCCAGCCTGAAGGAGGGAAAAGCATGCACTGTAGGAAGTGTGACTAGCAGGACGAGGCCAGATCTCCAGCAGGGTATACCATACTGTTTTTCTCTGGCTGATGGTTTTCACATTGAGCTTTCTGCCTCTAACTTCTAGGACTCAGGGCACTTGGTATATGCCAGGATGTTGCATGCAACTGGACACATTGGCAAGTGTCATGCCTCTTTCCATTAGCTTTTAGTTTATTTCTATTTGATCTCCATGGCTAAAACCAAGATATCCCATTTGCAGTAATACTCCTGTTCAGCCACAAAATACTTCAAGGCTAACAGGTCAGGTTCTGCCTGCTTACAGAATCTTCCACCAAAGAGCTGCAACTGCTGCCGAATAGCAAATAACAATCTGTATTCAATTAATGCAAAAGCTCTTTGGAAAACTGTTTTTCTGAGTGCATCCCAGAGTCTTCCCACCAGGACACTCAAGCAGGAATCACACAGAACATAAAAAGCTGCCATGGTTTTAGTACCTTATGGGGTGTACATACATCAGGTCCCTGATATTTCAATCAAACTCCCATGAACTGGAGGCTCTTAAGTATTGAGCAAGAGGGGGGAAAAAAAAAAATAATCAATTAATCAAATCCAATTTCTTGGCTAGCAACATCAGCTGCTTCTTCCTACTCACAGGGGATGAGAGTGCAGCAATGCCAGCTGCTCACCCTCAGTCCTGAAACACAGGGCCAGGGTTAGAGGAACAGGACATGCCAGTCCCTCCAGTGCTGCCTCTCCCTGCTCCCAGTGGGTACATAACGCAACTGGATTTTACCAGTGAACCAAGCAAGTTTTTTTTGTGAGTCTTTTGTTTCCTGCCCATTGTCCACAGGGAAAGTGCCCACCCCCCCCCACCCCACCCTCAGCTCCGGCTGCCTAAGCTTCTCACACAATCTCTGCTTTGTTTACTGGCACATAAATATTTACAATTCAAAGCCAGTATGGTTCCCAGCACAAACAGAAAGGAATATTCCTGGGAGAGTTCAGGGTCTTTACCATATGGAATAGGGTCTCTACTCCCCATGCAGAGTCAAACACATTGGGCTGAGGGTCATTTGGTCAGGGAGAGACTGAAACAGGGCAGCAAGGAAAAGGTCCCACAAATAAATAGTTGCATAGAGAATGTGCCAAATATTATAGTTCAGCCTAGCTCACTGAAAGACTGATGCAAGCCTCTGTGACCCCTGATCAGCTCTGTGAATCTTGATTGATTTCCTGACATTCCTTGTCTCTCTGCATTACTTCCAATCACAAACCACAGTAAGACTGCTCTATTCTCTCAGGCTGCTAACAAAACCTGCAGGCTGCTAAGTGCCCTGGTGAAGAAGGGGAGTCCCATCCCCAGCATGTGGGAAAACACTGCTGCATTTTTACCATTTTGCACAGTATCATACAAGCTTTGCACAGTGACAGCACATACAGGAGTTAGCACAGCATCATAGGACAGGGCACCAAGCCAGTGAACCCAGCTAGGATCTGGACTCCAACCAAAAGACAACACAAACATAACCACTGTCAAAACACAGGCTTTGTTTTAGATTCTCTACAGTTGTTCCATTCTTACCTGCATTCAGTGTGCCCTTTGCCCTCTCACAGTCCACCTAAATTTACTATTAGTGAATCACTGATCTTCAGTCTTCACAGCAACACAATCATCTCATCTTCTCTTTCTCCACATCCTTTTCTCTCCCTCCCTACTGAATAAAAGCCTCAAATCGTGTCAACACTGAGGTTTGGAGAAGCCTGAGCTAAGAAAAAGAAGAGGTTGTATCTGAATTGAACAGACTGATGTTAAAGTATACTGGGACTGGGGAAGTTTTCCTCCTTCCCTGGGTTATCTTGATTAAGCATGCTACACAATGACAGGGGACAGCCATACCCTGCCACAAGCAAGACTGTGGCTGGATCCAGCTGTCTTCTAAATTGCATCTCGGACACTGGAAAGGACAGTTTTGGCCTTGTCCATTCTGGAAAAGGTGACCAGCACGAAATCACAATTACAGGATCTAAGAGAGCCTAAACATTGCAAGAAAGGGAGATGTCAGAGTGCTTAGTCAGTAGCATTTTGTTGCTGGATAAGGTATCTGCTGGCTGCAGCCAATATACCCCAAAACACACTATCCATCCACATTATGATCAATACTTCCTCATTCCTGAGGAACTCTTCCCTGAAAGGACTCATCCCACAGGGTGAGACACAGGGAAGAGCCACTGTCCCTATTTAACCAAGGTGACCCAAGAGACCAACTGATCTCTTGCACAATCACCCCAGGAGACCTCACTGGACCAGGACTTTTATTCAACTCTCTCAAGTTCCAGGCCAGTGTCTCAGCCGCAAGATAACCTGTCTTCCAGCTACAGCTGGTGGGAAAAGAAATGCATGTGGAAGGGAATGCTGGCTGAGAAGAGAATTTATTACCTGCAAACCTGAAATCATCTTCTTTGCTTCCTCCATTTCCTTTTCCAAATGGTCCTGTTGTTCCAAAAGCTGCTCCTCCCATGAATTCTCCAAATATGACCCAGAGTTCCCTGCTTGCCAGTCAGGCTGGAAATGAGATTCTGTCTCTTCTGGAAGAGAGAGCAGCTGAATGTGGTCACAACAGACAGAGGAGTCCAGAAAAGACTTGCAGCACACACTTGCCTGCTGTCCATACTAGTATCACTAAGAAACCAGCACATGTTCTAGGCAGTATCAAGGAAGTTGCTACAGGTATGACATCTCATCTAATCTCAAGGATTTATGCCTCATTCTTTATGCAAAGGAAGCTTTCCTGTACACACATATATCAAAGATAAGCATCCTTCCCCTTTGTTAACTTTGCTGCATCCGATTCCTCAGTACTGCAGATAACAAAGCACATCAGAGGGGACAATGCATTGCACTGTGTGGTAGAAAATACTTAAGGGGAGAAAAGCAACTGTGCAATTTGAAGAACATGTCTTACTATTAGAGGGTGCACCAAGGACCTACTGAAGGCAACATTTAACAGTATTTCTACTTGTCAAATAACATGGCTTTCTCAAGGTAGACAACACAACTAATTCTAAAAAAGACTTTTCTCTTAATAGCAAGTTAATAGCCTTGCATGCCTTTTCTGATCCCCACAGCGTAAGGCGGATCACTGCTTAACTATTATCCACTGGCTGGCCCAGCAATGTAGGGTTTTTTTTTCTTCCCTAAGAAGGGATGAGGTTTGATGACGAATAATCATAGCTGTGCTTGTTAGCTAGTTGACCAAAAGTGAAACTGGCCAATTCAAGCTGCTGTGCATCTGTAGACATACATCTGCAATATCCTACTGTATGGGCAGCAGGCAGATGCAGTACTGCTAAGAATATAAAAGCCACAGCCTGCCAGTTACTTCAGTCACTGAGGTAGTCTGTCAAATACTTTTGAAGGACCACTGAAGCAGGACTACACTGGCGGCAGCAAAGCACTTCTAGGAGAGCTTCTGTCATTTGCTCTCGGGTTATATGCTAACCAGAAGGAGTTATTAGGCTGCATTCCTGAGGAGAAGAAACAAAACAAAAAATTCACTTCAGGAACTTCTTTGAAAACGTTTCCTTCAATCTGCATGAAAATTTTACGTGTAAACTGACCATATCACAGGGTATTTGTGGCAATACTGCAATGACTTCTCAATGCAAACACCAGAACAATACTACAACTATTCAATTCCTTGCAGAGTGCCACTCAACCTATGTACAGGTGTGCTGTAAACACAGACCCTTATGCAAAGTCAAGTGATGCATCATGGGCTTGACAAGCTCACATGGACTATTTCTTTAAGGGAATTTTAAAAGTTTTTTTTCAACATGGCCTAATGAGGCTGTGATGAAAGTATTCATCCTACAGTGAAAATTATATATGACCCTTAATCCTTCTCCAGAGCTTTTTATTTCCCAAGCATTATTTTGCAAGCCTCACATATACTGCCATATTATGGCATTACTGTAGCATTAAAGGTTTTTAAATTTAGTTTTATGTGAACAAATACTCAGCATCACATTCTCTACAACCATTTCAGTCACTGGGGAACTTTTCAGCAAGTTTGATACAAACAAATCCCAATGAAAGTGTGAGCTGTAAAGCATTATCTGCAAGGTACCTGTTTTAGTTTCTGTTTCTTCAGTGTGGATGATCACAAGTCTTTCCTTCTCCTCTGATGGGGCTACAGTGGATTCGCTCTTCGCACTATGGACAGGACTGGAAGATGTAAGACTGCAGAGGAAAGGAGAAACAGTTATTCTAGCACTGATCAACACCATCCACATCCAAGACAAAAGTGAATATGCAGGCAGGCTTGTTGAAACTAAGAATTATCTGCATACTAAGAAGCCATTAACAAACCAAACTGGGCATGTAACTTTTCCATAACTCTACAGTGTCATAGCAGTCTAACTGATAAGTAGCACAATATGTCCCTCCATTATCCTTAACAGAATGCAACTTTGAGACTGCCACCATAGAATTTACATACACTTACACAGGGGTAAGACCACACTCTACTGAAGGTCTGCTCAGAAACAATTTACTGCAAGCCTCATGTTCATACTGCAAGCTGAACGAAAAGCCACACCAGCTTGCTTCATCTCTTGCTCTGGCTTTCAAAAAGCACCACTTCGCTAACTTGAAATTGTAAGGGCAAAATATTTTTGAAAGTCAGATACCACTCACTCATGTTCTTAAGGTTAAAACTTCTTGGAAGTACCCTCATATTTCCTCTGGAGTCATCTCAGCTGACTGAGGTTCAAGCAATCTTTTTTCAGAAATTCTTCCTAAATGCATCACCCAGGCAACATCAAAAGGCAGCTGAAGCTCACTGACCCATTCAGTGTACCTCTAAAGTTGTGGGAACTAATCCTGGCAAGTGTGAGCAGGAGTTAATTTTTCGTTCTCCCCAACACAGAAACAAAGGGCAGAGAACAAAAAGAAAACAGTGTGGAAATAATATAATAGGTTTAGAAAAACAAGAGGCTTTGACAGCTCAACTTCCACATCTTCCCATCACTGCTGCTACGTATTCCACAGCTCTCACAGAATCAGAAAAGCCTTGCAATAGAGATGGAGATTACTTGCTAGCAGCTCCTGTCTGGTCCACTCCCACAGCCAGTATGGCCTACTTCTCATTTATATTACAGACCTGCAAGCAGTCAGCTTTAACATGGTGAAAGTCCATTTAGTCTGAAGCATTAAAGGAAAAGATGAACACAACTTACTAAGTGAAAGAATAACCATCTTCTAACATGGATCTCTACCAGCTACAGTACCTATTCTTTCCTGCTCAAGCAGGGTGTGCATGATTGTTAAAGGGTCTGGGACACCTGGCTTTGCTCAAGCATTTACCTTCAGTAAGGCTAATTCCATTACAGCAGTCCTTGATTAGGCACATTTTGTACACAACATTTGTAACCAGCCCCCTGGTCCTGCTTGTCACTGAATGGGTGCACAGCATAAAATTAAAAGAATTGTTTGGGAGCCCAGAGAATACTATTGTGTTTGCATTATATAACAACGGTCAGAGGAAAGAATGAAACTTTCACATAGCACAGGTACAAACAGGAAGCCCAGCTGATCTAACATGTCCAGTAACTCAGAGAGGGATTTTACTTCCTTCTAGGAATAGATCTTTATATTCCCCCTGCATATTCTCAGCTGATACTCTGAATGTGCCATCATCCTGATAAGACCACCGAGAAGTGCATTGCTGGTTCTCATCCATGCAAAAGATGAAAGAATGACAGCTGTCCTAGAAAAACAATATTAGCAACTGTTGGGTGAAAAGGTGGTGAAACTGAGGGATGGGCAAGAGCAGGGAACTGAAAAGAACAAGCAGGACAAAAAACAAGGGGATACAGAGCCTGGAAATAACATTCCCCTCTTCCAAAGTCTGCTCCTCTCAGCACTGGATCCACAGCCCAAAGCAAATATAGCTGAGGCAGGGGGATGTGGAAGGGTAGTGTTAAGAGGTCACTACAGGTCTCCACAACATAGACAGTTTTACAGATAATTGTTTAGGCATTCCTATAACCACAGTCCCCTTTCCAGGCAGTTTCCCTACTTTAAAAGGCCAGTGGTCTCACATGGCATCAGTGGCAACCTCTCAAACCATGCCAAACAGTGAAAGAGCTGCTGAGATGCACTCAGATGCAGTAGCACAGGTCATGTTGCCTCATACATTATGCTATCAAGTTAATGCTTGAAACATTTCTATGTTTTTTCTATCAGTCAGACCTGTTAGAGTGTGAAATATCCACTGATGCAATTTGTTCTTTAAAGTACATAACAATTCATAATTAAAGCATGCAGAATTAAGTGCTGGGTAATTAAAGCTATTTAAGACAGATTTACAATGAAAACTGCTCCACTTTATTCCTTTTACCAGTCAGTTTCTTAAACCATATCCTTTCTCCACCAAGTCCCAGAGTTGCCAGTGCCTGCACAGTCAAGGTTTTATAGGAACAGCCCCAGTGATAACTCTGAATTCTCATAATTTTAATAAACACCCCATCCCTGCTGTTTCAAATTACAATGGCAACAATCGCTCACCATTTGACCTGCTTCCCTCCCATGATCCCACTTTAACCTTTCGCCTCACAGAATCCGTTTCCCAGGGAGCCTCAGGCTTCTGGCTAGAGACATGTCTTGTCCCTTCACATGCTCAGAATTCAGTGCAGAAGACAGCAGCTCCTGTCAAACTACTGGAAAAATATTTGCAAGCCAGATTGCTTCACGTTAGCTGAAAGATTCACAGCAGGAAAAAAAAAAACCTCAGGGTCTTTGCAAGAAACCGTCAGATGGCAGATAAGCAGCCCACACACATATTTGATTCCAGAGTCAGGGAATTCTGCAGCCTGGGTTTTGCTTTTGCTGATTTTCCTCTCGGGTTATTGGTCTCTTGCTGCTGCATTTTGGTCAGCTGCACACCCAGTTGTTTTCATCACAAGGACCGCGATCTGGATTGCCAGTGGTGTTTCTCATCCCATTCTGCCCTCTTTAGACTCCAAGCACCTGCTGCAGATGCCAACAAACAGCCAAGAAAATGTGAAAAAAATTGGGTTCCCCCCTGTTCCAGGCTTGGATGCGGTCTTGGAAGACGGCATGCAGCACTTCCCAGCCCTATGCACAGCTTCCTCTTCCTTCGTATCTCCAGCTCCCTCTCCCTCCTGCTGTCACACAGGCTGTGCAAGGCAGAGCCTTTTCTCTGAGATGCCTGGCTCAGAGAGGGGGAGGGAAGGCTGGTGGAAGGGGAGGGGAAAGGGAGAGGGATGGGTGAGGGGCTGAGTGGCCTGGGAATCCATCTAATTTTGGCAAATTTTCCACGAATCATTTCAATTGCCTTTGCTTATTAGAGCTTTTGTCTCTGGGAATTCTGTTATTCAGGCTGTGAGCCCTCTTATTGAAGAGTTAATGCAGAAATGAGACGATGCTAGGCAGGGGATGCTGCCCTGGGACAGACATGACAGCAACACAATTAGATGGAGGAGGATGACTGCAGTCAATAACCACATCTCTCTAAAAAACGTGGCTTGTTTCTCTCAGCCAGTTTTTATAACTAAGCTCATATATTTCTCTCTGGAAGGAAAGAGAAAACAGGCATCTTGTTTTCTTCATGAAGCCTGGTGTCAGCAGAAGACATCCCCAGGAGCTGATTTGCTCCCAGGCCAGATTGCTCTCAACTTCTTTGTGTAGATCACTGATCACTTATGTAAAGATTCTCACCAAATTATGTCCTATCAGCAATAATATTGCCATTACCATATGGTAACAGAACTCATGACATTATGAGAAAAAACGAAAACACAACACAAACTGATTTAGGATGTGCAGAGAAATTTTCACTTGCCACCAAAATACAGCCACATATGAGCAAACAGCAGTTGTCTGACAATCCGTTATAGGGTAGAAGAGTACACAAGATACTACAGCTACCTTAAGCAGAAAAATGAGAGGAGGGAGCAGCATGTTTCATTTGTTGTCCTATTAAGATCACGGTTCAAGAGTCAATACCAAAGTCCTGTGACACTAGCCATGAAATCCTGTTGCCAAGACCAGAATTTTTACATGTCCCCTGGAATGACAGCTTCAAAAGTACACTCTCTACTGACATCATGTGGAGGCAGTGGTCCAATACTGGCTCACATTGAGTTCCCACACTCTTCCAAATGTGTAGGTCTGTATTTGTAAACACAATCTCAATGTTACACAGCAAGTTTTGGCAATAAATACAAACTATTGTATTTTCACTCATCTCTTGGGCCAAGAGACCCTAATTCTCAGGTACACAGAGGCTCCTTTGTACTCTGAAGCATCAAAAGTGGCCTGAGAAATCCTGTGGAGACATCCTGCCTGCTGAGAAACTGTCAGTGGCAATCTGTCCTAGGAAAGTGAACCTCCTTACTCCTGCACAAATTGGGAGGGGGGGGGAGCTAGTTGAGGCACTCGGAGCAGCCCAGGCAGGTCAAGGAGACAACGAAGCAGAGTTGGGGCTTACACTGGGGACAGGAAACTGTGAATGAAAAGAACACTGCAGCTATGATCAGGCAGCTCTGCCCTCTTAGTCTGCTCCAGAACAGATTAAATGGAGCAAAGCATCATATCCAGAGGGAGATCTAATACATTCAGTTACAGTCCTTTGTCTTCAATCTAGTTTCTTGCTCCCTGGGAAAAGAAGGGAAAGGCTGTCCCTTACTATGAAGCTATCCATGCTGGATCAGCTCCCCCACTGTAGTACTTTTTCTTCAAAAGCCCCTTCAGCTACACCATCTCTCCTATATCCACAACAACAAGCACAACCACATCTTCCCTCACCCCTCCATTGCTCAAGTAAATCAGGGCAAGCATTTTGACTTCTGCCCAGAGCAAAGGGTAGTAAGAAGAACTTGTAAGGCACCAGCATAATGTGTTGTAACTGGAACATGCTGCTCAGGTTCACAGCTGCACATTGTGGCACCTCCTATTGGAAATGTGTTATATAATGCCATTCTAACCAATCCTGTCTTCTACAGGTTCCATTTCCTTAGAAAGCCTCCACTTGCACCAGTTTGACCATGCCTAACTTGTGCAGTCAAGAACCTCAGTCAAGGCTGCAGGTTGTTTATAGCACAGAGCACATATATACTTCTCAGGATCCAAGTCCTACTTCAAAGAAGAAAGTGACCTCCAATGGAAACCATACTGAAATCTGACTTTCAGGCTTCACAACACCACGCAGGAGATTTTTCAGTAAAATAAATTTTGCACTTTAGATTGAAGGTAAAAGTCTGGGGGATGGAAGGGTAAATTAGATAACTGTAAATCTAGAGACAGTTAAACATTATGGATGAGGGCAGGATGGCAGACACAGCTGCAGATCCCCTAGGACCATATATCTGGATTAAAGACTGGTGTGTTCCTATAACTGCTGTTCAAATCCACATGCCCCCTCACCTCCATCTCTCTGCAAGGCACAAGGTTTGTTGGTTTAAGTTCCTTTTCTCCACAACTTTTCCATCAGCTCTGAAATATTCATACCTTGCACCCTAGCTACTCTGCCACTTCCTTTCTGTGAAGCAGGCCACAAACTCCATTTCAGCATCCCTCATGTCAGCACTCCCTCAAAAGGCTCCACCTGTACATTCAGGTTCCCAGTAAAATCTGTCTTTTCCTAATCCTATTCCCCTGCTCTCACTGAGGGATACTCCAGAGCTTTAGACAATTTAACTCAGAAGATCCTAGCTCTTATCTATGCGATCAGATAATGAATGAGATAAAATTAATCTGTGGAAGAAATGGCAGTAAACCACTGCTTCATGTTGGTTCCTGAGGCTTCATTCTCCAGATCAGGCAGGAGACTGTATGCTGGGAATCCTCTTTTCTAACAGAACTAACCAGATGACAAGTGATAAAAAAGGGCACTTTAGGGAATGTCAGACAAAGGACCACAAGGGGACACATCTTGGCAATAAAGTTCCTTACCTGGAACAGTGGGACTCCAGTGGCATGTTCTGCTGCCCTTCATACTGCTGTACTAGTGCCCGGACACTCCAATAGGGATTTTCAATCTCCTCATCCATGCTGCTATTTCTGGAGATAATAATCACAGAATGAGGGAAGCCTCACCTGATATGAGCAGAAATTCTTCTTGCCTCCAAGAAGGAGGGTAGGAAAGCTACTGAAAGGAAGGTAAGAAGGAGGGGACAGCTAGAAAACTGCCAGTTAAGAAAATTCTCCTATCAGGGACCTCCATCCCATCATCTTGTTGTGAAGTAAACACAAGCAAACAGTCCCTCCCCTTTTAAACTAATTCCTAATTCTGGTACTAGAAAACTACAAAAGCTCTGGAAAGGCAAGGAAAAGAACAGAATTTGCAAATAGCACAAGGGCTGGCTTTTCTGAGTAACTCCTGGCCCAAGGCCTTTGTAAGAGAAACCTTTAACTTTTAATTTTTCAACAAAACATACTATTTCAACCTCATTTCAAAACTGCTTTATGGGTACTCCCTTGAGCCAATATAATATGGGCAAATACCCTTCAGCTGGGTAAATTAAACCTTCAATAGATCACCATCTGGCTTCCATTTAGATGTCATTACTATTATTATAATCCACATAGAACCTCTTGCAAGTGTTAAATGTGCTTTTCAGAATTACACATTCCTTCTGTACATGGACCATCTCCCCTCATTATCACCAGAACGCCTCCGCTTACATGGTAGGCTGCATCAGCTTCTTAACAGCACACAACACTCTGCATCTGCCTAAACAGTAAGCATAACATTGGGGTGAACAGCAATGTAGAGACAGAATGGACTTGTACAACAGGCTCAATGGCTCAGTTCTGGAAGTAACTGCTCTCAGATCTGTAACCAGTACCTGTAGTTAAGACCTTACTTTTGTTTCACTTGAAATGAGAATGCCTCCAAGTAGACGGTACCAAGAAAGGGCACTGTGCTCAGCATGAAATGGGGAAAATGAGGCAGCAGAGTTCACTCTGGCTTGCCCATAAAGAACTGTTCTTTTCCAGTGAGATAACAGATCCAACAGTTATTTTGCTGCAAGACCTGAAAAGAACCTGGGATACCTGCAGTCTTCATCACAAGGCAGCCAGGCTAGGTCAGTACTCCCCTTTGTTAGGCCACTATTTATTTAGGCTTCAGTGAGACAGCAGCAGTTTGTCTCTATCTGTTTGCACAATAGGAGAACTACCTTACACCAGAAATTGTCAGGATAAACAGGCATCTATTTTAAAAGAAATTGTGTCCATCTGCTAATATGACCTGACCTTACATAACCAGGGAAAACTCATTACCTCTGTCTGTGCCGGAAAACATCCCGGCCGGATTGCAAGACATCTTGACGAACATCTGCCAGAGCAGCCACCGCCCCTTGGGCCACTGCAGCAGCTGAGCGAGGCCTGTGACTCGCAGATGGTGCTGAGCAGCTCTTCCCTGCCATGCCAGCAGGGCTATGATTCACTGTTCTCCCGGAACCTGGTTTGAAATGAGCGGCTAAGGCCAGGATCAACCTCATGATAGATTTCAAGTTCCCATCAACAATATCTGCAAAATGCACATAAAGCCAAGGACAATGCCATTAACATGAAGTCCCACCAGAGCTGTATCTGACCAACAAGAATGAATATAATTAAACCCAACAGGACCATGCCAGTAAAAGAGAACTATGCAAAAAGGACTGCATTACAGTACTGATGCTTAGCTCTGCTTGTTTTGTACAGAGCAGCAGACCGACTGCCACCTACAGATCACAAGTTTAAATGCTTTGATTAGACCTGAGCCTTCCCCTCTGTGTCCATTTCCAGCTAACAACCCAGTAGGTTACATGGCAGCACATCATAATTACTGAATGCTGACTGGAAAAGTACAGCAATTACTGAAGACTAACACTGTACTAGCAGTCACTTCAATTAGCACATGGAATTTGCTTTTTTTTAATACTAAAGACCAGAGAACAGCAAAGTATTTCTTTAGCAATAATGTCCTGTACCATAAACTGTTTGTAGCACCTTGCAAATGTTAACTTAATTTTAATAATATCACACTAGGCACTTCCCCCAGCACATAAACTAGCTCAAACATGTTGATCTCAAATTCACTGCAAAGATCAGCCATTCTTTCAGACTAGGATTTCTCAAAACAATTTAGCCAACTGAGATACTCAAGTCTATTAGAATAATTGGAATAGGTTTTCCAAATATCAGAGGCAGCCTAAAAAAAAAAAATCAAACAAGTGCTGGAGGCATGAAGGCTGGTTATTACTTGCTTTAGTATTCAAAAAATTAGAAATAGCCAAAATAAGTCACAGTGACTGTTACCTCCATGTCATTCATGGAGAACATGAAGCCAAAAGTCTGTGTGAATCATTTGAAGTCCTAGAATGATTCAATGTCACAACTATGACCAGAGCTCTGGAGCATGTGTCCCAGAGTCTTGTGCCTATATCCTATGCTATATCCTATGGGAACAGTATTCATCACTATATTTAAATTCCAAGCCTCTCACCAAGGCCTATAAACCAACAGCTTGTACTTTTCTGCTAACAAGCGTCATGCCCTCCAGGTAGTCTGTCTCAGCATTTTTCCCTTCCTTCTCATCTGTAGAGACAATACATTATCTATTTGATATGAAACAAAGACAGAAGCAGGCTTTCAACAGATGGAATCATCTGTGGTGACCACTAGGAGCACATACCTTTTGCTGATGTCTGATGCATGCGGATCTTTTTTGATGCCACAAACTGTAAGACTAGCTCCACATTTTCCCTCATCTCCTGCTGGCTGGTGGGGTTGACATGAATGCCACTCAACTTCTCACCAGCTAAAGGAGAAGAAAAACATTAT